AATGCCACTGATTTATCTTGGTGATTAAAGACCAATCAGCAACATAAAGTATAATGAAAATTATGGTTAGATTATAATAAAAATTGGAACTGCTTATGTTTGAAAATTTTAAAATGTTTTCAATACAATAGCACAGATACAAAAGAGAAAATGTATTAACCACATATTTTCATCTAGAATGGCTCATTAATAATTCACAATATACTTTTATGAAATTTAATAATCTGAAATTAAAATTTTACACTGACCAAAAAAATAACCACAATAATAATCAAACAGAAAATTTACAAAGACCAAACTTTATTTTCTTAGTAGTCAGTTGAGAATATGCTTTATTTTTCAGACTTCTAGAGTACCTCAAATAGGTCATAACCTATAAATTAGTAGGTTGTGTTAATTTTGTAGCAATTTTATCAACCTGTTCCACACATATTTTTAGATGTCCTCAGGAAAGACACTGTCACATATTAGTATTTGCAGCTTAAAAGACTTCATTTTTTTCCAATTTAGTGTATCTAAGAAACCAGCGCAAAGACTCATGCTGATATCATCTGAGGTCATGTGATCATCGTAAATAGGTTGAAACCCTGAATTGTGGAAATCTGGCATGTAAGAGAATAATTTTGTATAGTCATAATGATAAAAATGCGTAGGGGTTACATTTGTAGTCAACTGTAAAAGGAAAAATCATGCAGGTAGTTAAGGGCATATAAGTATAATTTTGTTTTATAACAATTGGCAAAATATTCCTGAAAATGAAATATATTTACCATACATACATACAAACCCTGAAACCTATAAAAATGATATTTAAAAATGCCCTTCAATTAATATTGGTGTTGTTCCGAGCTTTCTGAATAAAATGGCTTCAATCCTTTAACAGCTGCAAAATTTGATTATGTAGGGATATCTTCAACAAGTAAACAAGCAAGTTGGCTGCATACTAAAGCAGCAATTACTATAATGTTGCATCCAGAAGCCATTAATAGATCACCCAGTAAGAATAAACGTGAAGAAACTCACAAGTTTAGAAAATTAGATTATGTAGCATGAAGAACATGGAGGTCTTTTTTTCTTCCCCCCAAGTATTATTAGAGTGACAAAACTTATATATATATGAACCATGAATTATCTGGGAAATAAATATAATCACACAATATGATTATATTAACTTAGGGAATATTCTTCCACAAGAATAAAAAGACTGAAGCAAGATGGATCTCTTTTCCAACAGAAGTATTGGACAAGTAATCTTGGTATGCTTTACAAATGCAAAGGTTACAGAACAAAATTTCCCAAGGGATAACTGTGGTGGTTCTCCGCTGATTGAAGGTTGGTTTTTTTAAGCCACAGTATAGGAGTGCTGACTTGTGGGAATGTATATTAAAAAGAAGAAACTGTAGAGAAATAGGAAAAAGAAAGGAAGCTGGGAATGTACCAATATATCCGGATACAGGATATGCATTAAAAGGAAAATGTATTTTAATTCAGCTTAGCAGGAATTTTAACAGATCTTAGGACAAAGTAAATTTATTTTAGGTTTTCTTTTGTGAGCTGAAAATTAGAAAAGTATGCTCGTTAGTCAGACATCATTCTTTCATCTTACTCTGGCTTAAAGAGACAGCCAATCAGAGGGAGGCACTGGACAGGGAGGGATTAAAATCTTTCTCATATCGCTTTTTCTCGAGCTGACATACAAATCAAAATTAAAAGTTGTACAGGCAAATCATAATCACTTTAAGAGAAAAATAGGAAAATGTAATAATGGAAGAAAGACTTATATCAATCTAGCTAGGACATCAGGCCGGGCCAAATCAACAACTGTTGCTTTGACTATTTCATAGCATGGGCAAAACTATTAAGGACTGCATGCTTCACCTGAATTAAAGACATACAGGTTAAGTATAGTTGTAATTCCCTTTCCCTGTTAGGGATGGGCTTTCTGAGTAATAAATGCATTGATTCACATTCATCAACAAATCTGCATCTGAGAGGATTTCCATCTCTCCTATCCAAATAGCAAGCAAACTCGCTACTTAGTTCAAAGTGTAATTTTCCTTTCCTCTCCATTTTTTTCTTTCATGCACTAATTGTTTTAAAAGATAGAGAGGTGGGATACGGGCTAGAGGCCATGCATATTACACGCCTACGTGGCCTTGCCACTGCAGTTCACCTCCTTACTAAACCCACACCCAAATTATACCTGCCAATGAGCTACAAAATAATCAGCCTTTTTATAGTTTCCTCTTGTTCTATTACACAAAATACTGTAAACCAAATCTCCTCTGCTGTTTGGGTTAGCAGGAACTGAAAATGTTTGCATTTGAATGGAGATGAACACACCTGCTTCCACTTGAACTAGGAACCACTGGGGGCAGAAGAAAAGAGCAGCTGCCTTTAGTCCAGTGATCGCAGTCTCTTGTCTTTAGAAAAGACCCAGACTGGCAACACGGGTGATCACTTAAAAAACAGTAAACAGGACAAATCATGCTTATGGTAGCAGCTCCGTTAGACCTTCGTCAGTATTTACCACACAAATGTTGCTTCTCTTTTTACAAATGATGTCAACAAGATTTAAACTGCTAGATTCACAGAAACGACTACTGTATTTCATACAAGCCATCAAGTTACCTAACATCTATTTGCGCACAGCAGAATTCCAAATTGTTATTCTTTTTTGTTGTTGCCTGTAGTTATCTAGTAGACGAACTTTCTGAATGGATTGATTCAAATTGTCCCTTGTGTTTCCATGCGTAGCAGGAAACCTTAGAACTAAAACTACCTGCTATTCTGTAAGTGTGCATGTGTGCGCCTATGAATATAGTTGAAACTCCCTGGTGTTCCCTGACATTAAGATGGACGCAGCTTCTTAGAAATAAATATATTTTAACATAAAGCAAAATTGAGATTTATCGCCTCTAATTATAATTAGCCATTTTAACACAATGAATGGTGGGTATTCTGATGCTATTCTATTGTAAACAGTTCACTGTGTTATTGTATTTATTTGTATCCCTTCATTATTTTACAAATAACACAAGGTGGTGAACACATCCAACAACCTGCTTCCATTACATTCCCACAATGACAACCCTGTGAGGGGAGTTGCGTTGAGAGAGAGTGACTGGCCCAAAGTCACCAAGCTGGTTTTCATGGTTAAGATGGGAATTTAATTTCTGGTCTCTGACTTTCTAAAGTGGTGCCTTAATCCCTAGACCAAACTGGCTCTTATAAACAGGTACATGCCACCTAACAGAATATAGCTAAGAAACTGGAAAGCTAATGATACTTTCAATTTGTTGACATCGTGCAATGATATTTGTCTTTGTCAAATAAATCTATAGACCACCTCTTTATAACTCTGGCCCTTGGACATGTCTCTGTATATGGTAGGGAAATTGGCTTTCTATCATATAAAGCTCCAAATTATATATATGCAAACTCCCTGAATCTACTTCCCACGCTCACATTGCTTCATTTTGGCCACTATACAACTCTGGAGGTGCATAGCGTGAGAGGATTGCTAATTTACCCTTTGGGAAACCGTGTATTTCCTCCCCTAACTTCATAGTTTTCTTAAATTACAAGCAAATGATATATATATAACACTCATTAAGAGATACGGGCTGACCAAGAAACAGAATAATTTTTGAATATAAATATATAATAGAAGTTAATCAAATCTTATTTCTGTCTATTAAATCCAATAAAGTACTGCATGTCAAAAGGCAAGGAGCAACAATGAGAAAGGTGGCAGCTGTGGAGCAATTCTAAAGTAACAGGTAAAAAGACTGGATTCATCATTAATAGAATTTTAAAACATGTTAAGACTATTAATAATTCAAACCGCCTTATAGTAGCAGTAATTATTAAAAACAGACATCTTGGCCCAAATCTGCAAATCTTTCTAGAAGCATACAGTCTCCATATATGTAAATCCATTTTTCTTGCATAATTGTTAAATATACAGTGTTTTAAAAGACACTACCCTTATCTGTGTTACACAGGCTTTCTACATTAAATCATTTGAATTGTGTAAAAGAAGTAAGTAAAAACTCTTGAAATTTCCAATGTTTGGTTTCCTGTATTTGAGCTGGGTCCTCAAATCTGTCGTGTAATAGTATGCAATTGTTGCTCAGTTAATAAATATTGAAATAGATGTTGTATATATACCGTAAAGCTAAATTCTATATTAATTATGATAGCACCTTTTAGTGAGTAATAAAGTCAACCAGTGCCATCATCCTACATTTAAAACTTCAGGACAAGAACTGCTGCTGATAAAAATCAATATATTTAACCTGGCTTTACATAAAATATTGCATAAAAATATCTAGATATATTACTTGGTTTGATATTGATGCTGTTATTTGCATAGGAATCGTATCTAAAGAATCATGATCAGCAACCAAAGATCTTGGTTGCAATAAATTCATTGCTTAGTTGCAATTGTATGTTGAGTATGGAGTTTAAGCTAAATTTTCTCAACACTGTCATTATAGGGATCTCAAGAAAGCTTCAGAAATCTCAAGAATGACAGATGTTACCAGACAAAAAACTGTGATTAATGATAATGAGCTAGACATAACTCGTTGAAGGCCAAAAAATGGAATATTCATGCTTTGAAGCGTATTTTCCCCTCTGAATCCACAGATCACTGCATTTGATTTATAAATATATGTACCAAAGTAGCTATAGGAGATATGGATGTCTGTATCAATACCTGAAGCTGAACTCAGGTGAAACAGATTTATTGGTTAATCCTTTTAAGTCCACTACTACTAGGCTACTGCTTAAAAAGATTTAGGGTATTTAAGGATTGTGTTGGACTACTAAATGGCTACATAACTCAGAAACTTTGGTAGTTAAAATTTATCCTGGAGAAAGCCAAACCAGAAGAAATAGAAAAGTGCTAAGTAGCCCAATAGTGCATTTTCTTTTTGTGGTATGGATCATTAATGTTCAATGTCATTTATATTTAAATCATTTCACTTCAAGTTGTCATTACCCTTCAATTTAGAGATTTCCAGAGTCAACAATTACAGAGAATGCTTTCTGCTTATATCCTTACAACTAGTGAAATCATGCTGTACTTTATTTTTTTAAAAAATCACAATTATACCATTAACACATTGCCATATTTGTTTGGCATGCTACAACAGAAGGCTTTATTTAGGTCAATTGGATAAGGTTGGCAATTGAAATTTTGCCAATTTGTGGACATAAGCTTTAAAGTATAGGCTGCATGTAACTCAAATACAAGTAATACTTTAATAACAATAATTTACAGATACAAACTAATGATGAACTATAATTTCACAAAGAATTGTAAACATTTTGCACAATTGTCAGTCCTGTCTTTTAGGCAAAGTGCTCTTTTGATGATAAATAAATTAACAAACACATAGCTAGAATGGACTACTTCCAGACAATACAAAAAAAAGAAGAAGATGTTTCTCTTCAATAAAGTTTGTAAACATACAGTATTTATGGAGAAAGCCATAAAAGTGTCCTGCAAGCCATCTATACTTACATACTTGGACAACAAAATGGTCTTCAAAATACTTTGGATGCTATTTAAGATTAAATTGATTTTCAATGACAGAGTATAATAGGTGACTCAGAATGTATCTCCTTAATCTCATGTCCCTGAAATAAATAAATCAGCTGTGATTTATTGGCAATTGTGTCACTGAATGGGATAGCAAAGGCTGGAGTCCAAGAGCAGAAGGTGAATGAACTACAAAAATAGAAAGATTTTTGATCAGCCTGGCTGGAAGTAGAAAAATATTACTTGTGAATAAAAAAAAAAAAACCAATTGTATTGATATGGCCGGGATACTAACAAGCTGTACCCATTTCACAGCTTGTGAAAGAGTCGTGTCTAGAAAGACAGTGTTTTCCAGATGTTCGTACCCTTAGTGATGCCTGCTTCTCCCATATGAACTGTGTTTATACCTGCAGTTCTGCAAGTTGCAGGAATTTTATTGCAACTTCGCTTAACGTCTTGCTGAACACATCTATAACTAAGAAAATTTTTGTCATAAATATATATAGTACTTTAAATGATGATAGCTATTTGAGCTAAAAGGAGAAGCCACAGCTTTTGTTAGAACTAGATGTTCTTTTTTAATCAATCATGGGTACCAAAATATGCCTAGAATAGGTCAATGTACCTTAATAGTATATATTTCTTTCATCTACATGAATGATTAGTTTAGGGAGTGTATGTCTGTGTTTTAAGTGCTATGTAAATAATATCTTTTAACATTTTGGGAAGGTGTTGGACTCCTTTTCTCAAAAAATGTGAAATTCAAATAGTGTGATAGGTGGAAACTGTGCTTAAACATTTCATTATTTCTTTAATGCACAAAAGGTTATACTGGAGAAGAAAAGTCCCACTCTCATTGTATTGAAGAAAAAAAAAGAGTTCTAGCTATGGACAAATCCAGAGCTAGAGTTGATTATAATCCCAAATACTCTTTGGGAATAGAACTTGCAAAATAATTGTAATATGGCTTAATACCTACTCATAGCCCCATTTACCTAAGAACCTATTAGAAATGGTCAAATAAAGTTCTACTGTTATCATGAAGACCCGTGAAAGGCCATGGGGAGAGCAACTTCACTATCAATCATCCAACTATTATCTAAAAAAACTAGTTTTGCATGCGAATTATCTCGCTTTTCTTTGAAGAATTCTTATACCACCCATATTGATAGATAACTATAAGAATAAGGGCAAATATTGTGTATTGCAGACCTGAATGGAATCTTTGGAGAAGTAATATGAAAAATTCAAGAAGGTACGTAGGAAATGATGCTATCATATTTTAAGTCTAGGATTCAGAATTCCACTAGTGGGTGAGGAGAATAATTCTTTACACTGAATTTATGCCTGTGATTCTACATTGCAAATGGATAGAACCACATTAATTACACATAATTCCATTCTTTCCATGCAATTTCAACTTAATGCAAGAAGCCTTAGAATCCGCCCCTTTAACAAAGTGAAATAATAAATTAGTAGCACACTTTAAAGCATTTATTTTTGAGGAGAAATATTGTTATGTAAAACTCCCATTTCCCTTCTGAGCCAATAGCAGATATTGCTACTCATTTCAAATGTCTCTCTGCAACAGTAGGTCATGAAGTTTTTAATTATTATTTTTTTTAAACAACCCCCTGGAAAAGCTAGGGTTTCTCACAACATGATATTGGGCACAAAATAAAGGCAGAATTGGCAGCCTATGGGTTGCATGGTGCCCAACCCTGAGCTAAAGGATTCATTTCACCCAATCTTCTCAAGTCCACAGAGTAGTTATAGCAAGCCACTGTACCTACCATCCATGTAACTATGGAGAGCTGTTAACATTGTCCCATCTTGTGGCACATATGCTGAATAGGCCATTTCTTCTAACATTGGTGGTGAAAGTCTAGAAGCTTGGACTGTTGTAACAGGAGCAGTGGATGAGTGATTGGGGCTGACATGTTTCTTATGGCGTGCTCTACAATTTTGAAACCATACCTGGAAATTAAAAAAAAAAAAAGAATTCAGTTAGTTATTAGACTTTTATTTTCATGCTAAACAGATAAATTTTAAAAAAATAACTTTAGTGTATCAGTTGTGGGGTTTTTTGCATTGTGACACTAATTCCAGATAGAATCCAGTTAATAAATTCTCATATGTATTTTTTCTCCAGTCATATATAGAGACTCTATAGAGGCTCTATAGAAGGTTACAGCATCAACATACCCAATCATTATAACTATGACTTGTGTTGCTGATAACTATAAATCATATTGCTTCAGCCATGTGGAAGTATTTAATAGGAAACATTAAGTGTATGGAAAAATAAGTGTTTTTGAACTATTATAAGCTATTATACATTATTTTAGCTGAAAATAAACTAGACTTTTTGGAGCTTTATAAAACTGGAGAACTTTGGTCACAATACTTGTGAAATATGCAGTATAGTTACTTGTATCACACGCCTGCTCAAGCCTGTTCTTTCTGCCAGTTTTTGCAGTGTTTGTGCATCAGGATTGTTGTCTTGAGCAAACTGTGCTTGCATTACCTGAAAAAGAATCAGCATGTTTATGGCATACTGGCAAAAACTGCATAAATAATCAAGAAACAGTCATGCTGTAGTCTCAATAGTACTTTTGAAGAAAAAAGTACTATTGAGGAATAGAGCTTGCCAAATAATTGTAATATGGCTTAATAACTATTCATTGCACCAGTGACCTAAAAACTTACTACAAATGGTCAAATAAAGTTCTATTGTTATCATGAAGACCTGTGAAAGTTCATGGCTTTACTAAAGGCTTATAAAGCACTAGAGCAGAGTTGACCTGAATTCTAAATTAAAAAAAAAAAATCAAAGCAAAATTATACTAATTTGTCATTGAAATACATACAATGGGAATTTATCATAAGGCCATTTAATCATGTCTATGTAACACATTCACCCTTGTTACTTTCTACTTGTGTTTTATCAAGTCAAAATATATGAATCCTACCAGGAGACATTTCACAAAACATATAATTTTTTCTCTTCCCTAATTCCTTCATTCATAATTAGTTTTAGAATTCTTACATTGTTTTTACCTTACTAGTAGCATGTACAAGTCATGTGGTAAAGCTGATTATATAGCTATAGAGAAAGGACTATTATTTGTACTGTTTTATAAAATCTAGTGTCCTTTAGTAATATAGTGCAAAATATTTCAAAAGATTCCAGCTTTAATTGAATTTTCTATTAAAGAACTATACAGGTAGTCCTTGATTAACAGCCACAGCTGAGCCCCAAATTTTTGTTGCTAAGCAAGATAGACATTAAGTGAGGCTTGCCCCATTTTACAATTTTTCTTGTCACAGTTTTTAAGTGAATCACTGCAGTTTTTAAGTTAATAACACGGTTAAGTGAATCCAGCTTCCCCATTGACTTTGCTGGTCAGAAGGTCATAAAACGAGATCACATGACCCTGGGACATTGCAACCGTCATAAATTCATGTCAGTTGCAAGCTTCCAAATTTGGACTGGGGATGTCGCCACAGTCCGAAAAATGGCCATAAGTCACTTTTTACAGTGCCATTTTAACTTGGAACGGTCACTAAACAAGTGTTTGAAAGTCTGTGAACTGTAAATAGATCACAACACAACATCCCTCTTGCTAAAATTCTCACTTACAGGGTTGCAAGAGATAGTTATCTAAATAGTCTAAAATGTATAGGAGCAATAGATTGTTTTAGGATTTTCCCCAAACTGATTACATTTGGATTTCTGAACTACAGGTAGTCCTCGACTTATGACATTTCAGCCCAGAATTTATGTTGCTACGTGACAAATTTCTTAAGTTTTACCCCTTTTTACGACCTTTCTTGCCACATTTGTTAAGTGAATCTCTGCAATTGTTAAATTGGTAACACAGTTGTTAAGTGAATCTGGCTTCCCCATTGACTTTGCTTGTCAGAAGATTGCAAAAGGTGATCACATGACCCCTGGACACTGCAACAGTCATAAATGTGAACCAGTGGTCAAATATCTGAATGTAAATCACGTGACCATGGAGATGCTGCAACGGTCATAAGCGTGAAAAATGGTCCTACTTCACTTTTTTTCAGTGCTGTTGTAATTTCAAACGGTCACTAAATGAACTGTTGTAAGTTGAGGACTACCTGTATTAGTATGTCAGCTTTTTTATGTTCCCTAAATAAGATCCTAAAATACATAGTTTTCTTTAAAAAATGCTAGAGTTGTAGTTTCTAAAATAAGATAATTTCATATAAGAAAAGTAAATAAAATGTACTGGAAATAATTCTGCCAGTTGTAGAGTTTTCAGTTAAGGTTCTCCTTTTTTGTCTCTTCACTTTCTTTATTCTTGGTTTATTATTTTGACAGTAGGTTATTCTTGTCTTAAATATATGGTAAACTATTTTGTTTTATTTTGTTTATTTTGTTTTGTTTTTCTGCACGTTTTGTTAAAAGAGGTGGGGTTTAAATTTTAATCTAAATAAAAACATTTAATTTAAATGTTAAATAAATATCCTATGTGTATTTACGAGATCAAAATTAATATCTGAAACACTAACACTTAGGCTAAAACAACAATTAAAACAAATTTTATTATTTTAGTTGCAAAACAACAATTAAAGAAAACTCCTAAAAGGATGAAAACGTTATGGTGGCCAATGCAACAGAGTTAAATAAGCAGTTAAGAAGAATGCTAAAATACATTAAGTTTCCAATTTATTTACAACAAAATAAAGCAATAATGAAATAACTGAATACAGTTCATAGACATATTTCTTTGCACTTATTTTGAAGCAATATGGCTTGTATGGGATATCCTATTCTGCAGTACAAAGATACCAGCTAATATTCTGAACACAATTTCGCAGCAAACACTAAATTAATCCCATCATTTAACTATGACACTCTGCTTGGTGTGAAGAACAACAGTTTTGATTGTCACATACTGTTGCATTTGCATGGCATCAAAAATATAGAAAAGCTTATGCTCTTTGGAAATCTGCTGCTTGCAGATTTCCTAGTATCTTTCTTCATGTTACATAAAACTGAAACTATTTAACCTCCTATTATGATTATGGGAGTCGTGTAAAGGTCTGATTTAATAAAATTCATCAAGTAGTCAAAAGAGATCAGCATTTATGCTTTCACTTTACAGAATTACTAACTGCCTTGAGGGAAATTGAAAAGCTTGAAGAGTAACTAATTCATATGAAACAGCAAAAGCTCACAAATGTATTCCAGGAACATGCTGTGCCTTGGTATTAAGAGAAATCGTATACCATTGAGCATATAATTTCTTTATAAACAACTAATTTATACAGAATTTTTAAAATTATGCACCGTGTACAATTGTTATGCTTCTGCATCATGGCTATGCTCAGTTCCCCACCATAGGTCTGATTATAGCAGTCTACGATTCAGTGTTTCTACCTGCAGCTGATCTGCTGTGAAACTGGTTCGAGCTCTTTTTGCTGGCTTGGGATGATTAACATCTTGCTCTGTTAATAATGCACCTTCTACACTAATACCATTCCCTGAAATTAAAGAGAGAAGAAGTCCAATTGTAGCACTGATATTAGTTATTATTTACAGATATTCCTTTATAATCAACTTCCAGTATTCAGAATATACTTAAACTATGAAAATATCCATTATTTACTATTTTGAAACAGGTAGCCTGGAATTTGACTACTTATACACATTTTACGTATTTCATAATTATTCAGAATAATGAAATAATTTAAAGCAATTTTTCAGAGTAACATCTGTAATATAAAACTAGTCTATATCTAAAAATAAATTCACAAGCTACCAGGCAGATTAGAACATGCAGGTGAAAATTAGTTTTTATTTTGCAATTAGCAGAAATAAATAGTCCAATAAATTTCATATAGATAACTACTATCTAGTTTCGTAGACATAACTTTTCCCATTGGCTAAATTTCGACAACCAAATCTACCAATTGAAAGCACTGAAATGAAGTGAGCATTTGTTTCTTTAAAGGCAAATATGCAATCAATGTTAACATGTTTTGAAAGAACTGCAAAAATATAATTATTGCCAAACAACCTATTGTGCCTTGTTTTGACATTTTTAGTGAAGTCTTTAAAAAAAATTTTTATCGCTCAGAATATTATCACCACAATGCTGAATACAAATAATAAAAAAATATTCTAGTACACCTGGACAGAGAATCTGTATTCTGAAGCAACTTGCATTTCAGGATAATTTTCACCACAGCCATATTACTGATCATGACTAGAGATAAGGTAAAATTCTCCAGACAGATTAAAAACTACTGAAAGTCAACTTCTCTTAACGCTGAAGCCACACTATCAACGACACATTAACTATGGAACAATTTATCAAGTTAGAAATTGGTTTTCAAAAGGCATTCAAAGATTGACCTCAAGATTCAGGAGGGCATGTGACAAAGTATAGACATAAGAAAGAACACAGAAGCTGGATGAGCTATCCTAATGGATGACCACAACAATTAACTAACAGTAAAAGCACGGTGGAAAAGTGTTTTTAACTGGTTTGTAAAATGCTGGAGGAGAAGGAACTATCTGCATGTACAGCAGGGGTCCTCAACCTTGGCAACTTTAAGACTTGTGGACTTCAATTCCCAGAATTCCTCAGCCAGCTTTGCTGACTGAGGAATTCTGGGAGTTGAAGTCCACAAGTCTTAAAGTTGCCAAGGTTGAGGACCCCTGATCTACAGGGACCAGAACTGAAAAGGCCTTTCCCAGGATAAAAGGGAAGCTTACCGTTTTCAACTTCTCTTTTCAAGTTGTCCAACATGCAATCATAATGTACCCTACAGAGGACTTTCTCTTCAACCAAAGCAAACTCCTCTCCTGTCGAGAGCTGCCTTTTGCAAGAGAAACAGGCAAAGCAGGCCAAATGATACACGTTTCCCTTGGCTCTTCGAACCCAGTCAGTAGAATGGATGTGCCTACCACAGCGAGAACAGCGGGTTCCATAGCGTCTACAGAAGAAGAGCGAGAACAAATGAAACACAAGTCACGGGCCTGATTCTGTAACATTACTTTGCCTGAAGTTTATAGTTAACGCTATTGGCCTCAGAAAAGCCTGGATTTGGAGTGTTTAATTTCCATTGCATTTTATCAACCCAAAGAAGAAATTGCTTTTGTACTGTTGACATGTCATTCCTCTATGCCTTCCAGGGCTTCTGAAGAAAACCATAAGGGAGATACCTAAGCACAGGGATATTACTCAGGAACCCCTTTATGTTATATACATGAAGTCACACTGGATTTTACCTTGATGTAGTTGAGATTGCTAATCTCTTTCAGTTGTGTATCTTTGTGAAATGTGGTATCATCAATCATCTAGAATCCTTAACCTTTTCAATTCCACCATATTTTTTTAAAAGCCAAAAAGTCAAGAGACATGCTATTTTGAAGAAATATGCTATTTTTGTGTCCAGATAATCTACAGTTAAAAACCAAAACAAGATGATTTAAATGTAATAGCAACTAAATGATGGAAGGAAGATATAAAAGCTCAGACCAGCAGTGAAAACCAAAATTAACCATCCAACCCAGTAAATACTTGGAAAATTTGGTCAAGATTTAGACAAACAGTAGATTCTTTCTTGATTTCAGATTATGGAATATACCATCAAAATGTTCTTCAGGCACACAATACTGGATATAGATTAAATACATTATATTTATATATTGGAATCTATGAGAAATTAATGGCATGGGCATCAAAGAGCAAAAGAGCAACAGTAACTACTGTTTTATCATATTATATTCACATATTTGTGTCTTAATAAAAGGAAGAGTAAGGCCTTGCATCTTTGCCTATTGTTGAAAATGCAAGAGCCCCATTTCCATAGAAAAATGTATCTTTCTCTTTATTAAAATATTTGAAACAGTTCCTCCAGTTTGAATGAAGACCACAGTAGGATCAATATCTATCTCCATTCTAATTCCAATCGGATGACTCAATCATGTGCAAAAGAAAAAAGTATTTTTTTTTAAAAATACATATTTTTAAAAAAATGATCAATTTCTCATTTTTTTTAAAAAAAAGAGGCGTGATATACTTCCTATAGCTTTAACTTCCTCATAACCTATAATTTATAAACAATTTTCAAGGGTAGTTCCACACAAGAGTGTTTTGCAGTAATCCAAATAGATAATTCTTTCAAAGTGAGACGATAAAGACTTTTATAGAAATATATTTCTTTCAATATTTTAACAATATTTACTCAGCTAGTATATTGCTATCAACTGAAAGAAAAATAAACTGAAAATGTTTAAAAAAGTATGATAGAGTGTGCAATAGCACCATTAAATCTGCCACAATCAATGCAGTTATTGCCTAGTATATCCTTAGAAATTTACTAAAATTTTCTAAACTTCAGATCTGTAAATTAAGATTTCACAAATAATTATAATTATTAAACAATGCAGGCCACCTATACTTACATACTTGGATGAAAAAATGTTGGTCAAGTATAATTAAAACAATTTTTTTTACATTTCTTTATGTAAAATGAAAAGTACAGGTTTATGCTGTGGTCATAAATCCCAAACCCTTAGTAATTAAATGCTATATTTTCACTTACTCTTTCAAATAGCAGTAGTTTATTCTAGCAGTAAAGTACTTCAGTGATGTATCTTAGTTGGTGTGGATGCTCTGAAGAGAATGCAGGAATAGTTACTTCCCCATTGTGGAGGCAGTGAAATAGAAATACTTTAGTGCTAGAGAAAGTAACTGCATTTTGTGAAGGTAAACAGATGAAGATAGGAAGAAGACAGTAAGATTGAACAGAAAACATCTTAGGAACTTTTTTTTGAAAACTTGACCCTACTGTCAAATAAGATGATTGGTTTCTTGTAGATGTTTCATTACCAACCTAGGTAACATCAGTAGTGCTAGAGAGGAGTGGGATTTGCTCCGTATTTATATACAAGTGGCCCTTGTAGCACTGCTGATATTATCCAGTTAGGTAATAAAACGTCTTGAAGAAAACAACCAAGCTCAGACAGAAGGACAGAGTCCAACCCTGTGCTACAAATATTCTCTTCTATTGTTAATTGTGTTTTTCTAATTATGTACCACCCCAAGGAAATAATTTTACTATTGGGCAATTATTTATATTCCATCTAGCATATAAAAGAGGAATAAAATAATGTTTTCATCAGGACCAGCATATGTGATCCAATGACATTAAGCACTTCATCCACTCTGATTTCAGTAAGAAGGCTAATCAACTACCACACTGAGGATAAAAAACAAATATTCCAGCCTCTGATGAAATATTCTGCAGAGCATACACATTTTGAGATATGCAAGGGGGAGTGGGGCCAACATATCATTCACATTAGGACAAATTAGAATTTGAGATTTCTTGTTCATTGAATATTAAAGTTACCATGCACGATACAAGGATGTTCAAAAGCACCTGGAATTTTGGTAATGAGCTAACCCCCCCCCACCACCACAGCAAATATAATCTGCTTAGCATTAGCAATTACTTTTCAGCATGTACCATACCTTTTTAAATATAATGACTATTGAAGAAAGAAAAGAGACCACGGTGGCATGTATTTCTATGATGGAACACTGATATATTCAAGATAATCATCTGTAACCCCCATGTTCCACCAACCTTACACAAAGACCAGAGGTTATATAGTTGTGTTGCTTTTAAGCTGACAATAAATACTGCCATCAAGATTAAGGATGGAGTTGACATGCCCACAATAAATAAAACCTTATAATTAGCTGAAGAAAACAAAATTCTATTATAGTGCCCAAATGAGAGGAGTAGTGGTTGGCCAGCAGTGGCATGAATTATTCATGCGTGTACTATGTTCCCTAGTACTCTTCAAGCTTCAAATTCCTTCTCATGGTATTAAAAAAACAGTATAAAAACACAGAATAATATTTTGACCAATATTAGATAAAAACCTATAGGGGTATGCAGAATGCTACTGCACCTAGCACCACAAAATTACCAGGAACACCCTACAGTATGGTTGCTGCTACCATTACATGATTAGACCAAAAGTCTGGGAGAAATCTAATTGTCTAAAGAAATCTAAAGATCTATATCTAAATTAATGTTTAGACTAAATCTGAAATCTAAATCTAAACTAAACTAAACTAGCAAGATGCAAAGTAATCTTTGCCTCTCTATATACATAGTTTGTTCTTAAGAGAATCTTTTAAGCTGAAAGTAAGACTATACTATACATTTCCCAATTTAAAAGAAGATTTATATATGTATGTATGTATATGTATATGTATATGTACTGTATATATCACATTATAGAGGAACATATATATTTGTTTCGGTGTAGCACTCTGCCCTCAGATAATGTTCCATCCAAAGCAAGTTGAGCATTTATCTCTGCACAGAAAAACATTCCACAGATTTACATTTGCTGTTTTAAAATAACATGTACTTGAGTTCCATAGTATACCTGAAATAATCTAGTTTGCAGAAAATGTCTTTGTCTTTGATATAGCAACTGGTATGCCTTCCTAAAGAGGTCCTACATACACTGCAGGAAAGGCAGCGTACATGCCAGCACATATCATTTACCTAGGAAGGAAAAAGAAAATTGAAATCTGACATCACTTATTTGAGTAATTTATAAAACAAGAGTTAACAATGTAAAATGACAAAGATTCTAATTTTGCACATATTTAAAAAAGATAAATGACTTATTCTGTTGAGAATGAGTTTCTTGATCTGTTTCTGCCTTGCTATGAATTTTGAACATAGACATAGGTACACATTATTTTAGGATTTGAAATAAATGTTTATGTTTAATAAATAATTGTAGGACGAGTGAAGTGGCTGATATGACTGTAGACACACTTAATTCAAAATGGTATCATGCAAACATTTAGTCTGTTTCAATTATATGAACTGGCTGTATATTAACCAGGCTTCCGATGGTGTATCATAACTTCTTATAAATATATTTATCCAGGATTAAACTGGATAGTGGCTGATATGACTATAGACACACTTAATTCAAAATGGTATCATGCAAAACTACTTCAGTAACTTCTAATTCAAAAACTAAATGGAATAACTATTACCACTTTGTGAAATTTACCATGGATACCTCACATCTTAAATTGTCCCTCTACATTAGGGAATAAGTTGAGGTATGATCCTATAGGGACATACAATTTGTGTATCTTTTCATGTAGAAAACTAAATTCATACTTCTGAATAGAAACATATAGAATTGCAGTGTCTAATCCTAGATAAATATCTTCATAAGAAGTTACAATATATCATAGAGGTCGGAAGCCTGTTTAGTATACAACCGGTTCATATAATTGAAACAGATCAAATGTTAGCAATAAGACATGTAATAAGGGGATACTGTGGGGGGGGGGGAGGTCCTCCACCATTAGTTCCAAGACCTTCTCCATCAACACTCAATTTATGACATGAAGTTCAGAATACGATTAATAGGGACATGCTAATTTTCCTGTGACATCTTTTTTAAAATGTGAGTTATTTTTACAGTCAAAACATGCATTTTATGAATATTAACATACAATTTGATGAAAGTATAAGGCAAATCTACTTTCTTTGGAGTGACAGACATAATAAAATTGTCTTAGTAAGATGTTATGAATGGTTTGTCAGTAACACTATAATTTCAATAAGCAAAAAATATTTTTTCAACCCACACTGTATGATTTCTTAGAATTGAAATTCTGAAGTGCCTTCGACCTTAAATTAAAATGTCAGCATAATCTAGTCGGGCTTGGTAAAATAATATAAATATGAGTGATATATAAATAATATTGCCTAAATCTCAAAACAAATTAAAATCAGCATTGATGATGTGGAATGAAACTTGTCTGCTAACTGGACAAATATGTTTTCATGCTAGTAAAATTTATTGATATATCATAGTACAATAGTTTAAAGTTACAACACTAAGTATTGGAAAATAATATTTATACAACTTTCTGAATGTCTGGACTAAGTTTTATAGATAGGGAAAAAAACCAACAACCCCATTAGAAATCAAAAGAATCTTGAGGTTTCTTTGGTGCTGCTAGCAGTTTAGAAATAAAAATATGTAAGGGCAGAGAAAATTAATAATATTCATATATTTAGCGCTATTTACAAGTTCATCACTGCATTTCAATTTTCAAGAATTGCCTTACCCAACATCAATGTGTTTGATAATTTCCAGAACATTTGCTTTAAAATTCTGGAATTGCATGCAACATATTAGGAAAGTTTGGTTTGAGTTAAGCAATAATAAAATTGTTCTTTTGTTTACAGAAAATCAGCTCCTGTCATGTATTTCCTAAATTCCACTTTTTTAACTATGTGTAAATGAGAATATTACAAAAACATCTGCAATAATTGTCTCTTGAATATACTATTAGTTATTAGGAAGACAACAATTTTTAAAGAAAAAACAGACACAAGCACAGGCCTAACATCATTAGATGATTTCACTGGACGACATCTGAAGAAAATGAGTCCATATGCTTTTTCAGAACTCATGGCTATTGTCAATGTGGTTTGAGTACTTTTATAGAGTTTAGTAGTTATTTGCTTTTCAGAGACTCTGGCAAGTTTTTAAGTGCAGCATTTATTGTGGATAAATATTTAATGCCAAGGTATTCTAAGTCCAGTTTGAAGACTTAGGCTAAGATTTTCAGCAGGGGATGAAACATTTTTTTGTTTTGAGAGGAAGTATCAGCTTCTCCCACTCAACAATTCCATAGAGCTAAAAAGCAAGAAAAATATGAACATAGCTTATTTTAGCCTCCAGTCCTTTATCAGCAGATATTAAAGCAATTTAATTCTTGGAAAATACATACGCACAAACATATTTATTTGGCCTGACTGAAATATTAAATTCTTTATAGGAAGTTATTGCCAAGTGCAGCAATGTGTCAACTATAAAATCAAAACTACCAATAAAATCAGGTTTCAGTTTAGATTAGATCATTACCCATTTACCCATAAGTCATTCATAAATTGCATGCAAATTTGCTATGTACAAATAAAGTCTTAAATCACTGGGCTTCTAATTATAGAATGTGTTGGGAAGATGCTGTTTTACAACATTTGTTGTAAATTTGTTGCGAATTAAAAATCAACAATCTTTATTCTATCTTAATGCATAATATCCCTGAACCCAATTTAAATAGTAAAATTAACAAAGTATTTTTGCCTTTTAATACTGTGCTGCCACAACATTCCTGAATTAATAGTGACCAAATATGCAAATTAATTCAAGAGTGTTATGTTATTTCTGAAAGTTCAAAGAAGATGACCTTCTGCCAAGTTTCTCAGAGGTACATTTAACTGAATTTAATTTCCTTTGAACATTAAGTCTGGTTGATAGCAACCTGAATTAAGCTCACCTGATGTGGTCCATTAAAGCAAAGAAAAGGAGAAGGCACAATTTGAAAATATTTGGGATGGCATCCAGGCTATTTTTCCAAATTAATCCCCAAGATATTTTATAATTACAAAGTATTTGAAAGCTGAGTTTCTCTATGTGATCACTTGCCACTGCTTATTCATTACAACGAAAGGAAATTATTTCAGCAATACTTTTTTTTCTTTCCAAACATAATATTTATTCTACAACTATTCTATACCACAAACAACTGCTATCAGTTGCAACAAAGCTGTTGAAGAGTCTCAGAGACAACTTTAAAGTCAAACAAATGTATCCATCAGGAAGATCACAAAAGACTGCAGCTTTTATTCAGCTGCAGAAAGTAAGGGTAGCTTTCTCCCCTTCTCTTGTAGATAAGATAAGCAATATTCTGAAAGGCTGCTCTATTCCAGTCTTAAGAGAAGTTTATTTTTAGCTTAGACTGCAGCTCCCTTCCAGAAAATTATTACCGTGCAACTCTACTAAAGCCTTCTCATTCACAGATCCAGTGTTTGCTCACCTTCAGCAGGTATTTGTCCACAATCTCTAGACCACAACTATTACAGATGCATTTGCTGGACCCGCAGCTGCCTGAGCCAGAAGCCAGTGAGCGGGGCGAAGAGGATGGCGATAGCGGGGTGGAGGAAGAGCAAGAATCCTCATCAGCCACCACCTCTGGACTCACCTGTCACAGAGACACAAGCACAGGTCTGTCATCAGCCAGACTTGGTTCCTGTTCCCTCCAGATCCCTTTCAATCCAAGTCTTGGGAAAAGTCTCTTTCGAAGCCCTTCCCCGCCCAGATCTAACTGGGGCACAAACTTTGATTGGCGGCATTGTTTTGTTTTTGTTTTCCCCCTGCCGCGCCCCACAATGCTAGTTTCATCTCATCATAAGCCACCCATAACACAACGCGCTCCTCCTTAAGCCAGCCCAGGGCCACTCTCCAAGGGCGTAAAATCCGTTAGGGGAGTCAGGCGATTGTGACAAGCGGGGACCGAGGCAACCAAAGCACCACAGGTTCAGGAGAGCAAGTGTCGCGTGGCGGAGCTTCCGACCACCTGGGCTGGAAGGCCAAGGTCCCTCCCGCCACTCTCCATGAAACGCCAGAGGTTTTGCTCCATGTCGCGTCTTCTACACCCGAACCTCGTTCCTCACAAGTTCGGGCTCAGAGCCGCCCCCCCTCCGGAAAGCAAAGAAGGCGGCGGGGGGGTGGGGGGTGGGGATCGGAGTCGCTCGTGCCTGCAGTCGCCGAATCAGCTGCCTCGCCAAATCAGGCGGGAATTCGAACCCGCGAGCCGCCGGTATTTGGCATTTGCCCGCCGCTGCCTGCCTGCCTGCCACGTTCAAGCGCTCCGAGGGCGCTTCTGGGCCAGCAGTCCCTCCGGGAGAGTTCCCGCCAACCGTTTCAAACCCTCCCCCCTCCTTCATGTGTTTCAACCTATTCGGGGTTCTCACAAGTTCCAAGGACGCCCCTCCCGCTCTCCCTAAAGTGCCCTCTCTCGTTTCCTCACACGAGGAAACCCTCTTACCAGCCCTGTGTCTCCGACGCTTTTCCGCCTCCTTCCAGTCACTGCAGCAGCAGCGGCTGCCCCTCGCTCGCTCTCCTCAGCCATGAGCTTCGGGAACTGCAAAAGAGAGACCAGACCGTTTTAGCGCCTCCGAGAGCGCCGAAAACCTGAGGCGACGAGGCTCGGTTTCCTCAGAGGGAAGGGAGCGGGGCTGTCGACTCCTGCCCCCCCCCCTTCCCAGAGAAAGTTAAACAAGGGCAATTACAGGGCGAAGCCGAGCTCTTGAAGGGGGGGGGGGAACCTTCCAGCGCTAAGTGCAGCAACCGCCACCGCCTTCCCAAAAGCCGGCCGGGCTGCCAGAGCCGGGCTTGATTTGAATGAAAATGCCTCAGCTTGCTTAGAGCTCGAGCGGCTCGCTGCAATTAGAAGTCGCCCTCCACTTTCAGCTCTGGCCTTCGGAGGTGTAAATTGCCACTTAAACCTCTCCGGGCGGAGTTAATAGGCCGAAGGAACAGCTCGACTCGAGAAATTAAAACACACACACACACACACACACACAACTCACGGGGAAAAAGGAGAGTCCCGTGAAAGGAGAAGCCTTGAAACCAGCCAGCTGAATTTAATTGAGGCGTCATTAAGGACAATTGGTCCTTGGGTCAACCGAAGGGAGGGGGCCATATATAAGAGGGCTTGACACGGCGAGGCTGAGAGGCGAGGCGGTCGGGCCCTTTCGACCTTCCCCCTCGGCGGCCGAGTAAGGAAGCAGCCCCGGCCCTCGCTCTCCCTTATCAGCTTCTTCGCAACCCTGGTCTAATTAGTCGCAGTTAACTCAGGCCTCACCTCACTCCGGCGGGTTGCCTCCTAACCTTTAAAGAGACAGATCTCAGGCAGCCTCAGGCCACAGACGACTGAGGGAGCCGAGCTCAGCCATCGCCAGTCTGGAAGACCCAACAAAGCGAAATGTTTTATGGAGATTCTCAATCATCCAGGTCAGAGTTGTCCCAAAGGTGCTTCCCTCCACACAAAAAACTGGACTTTCTTGTTTTTTTTTTTCCTTTGAAAACGTTTCGCTTCTCAACCAAGAAATTTCTGCACTTTTCAAAAGAAAAAAAAGTTCAATTGCTTTTTTTTGGGGGGGGGGGAGATCTTTGGGACCACCAAAGCGCAATTGTCACGGCGAAGACCGAGCTACTCCTGGGCAAGGCGAGTTCTTCCCCGCCTTGGTTCCTTTCCTCCAACTACCTAACAAGTTAGTTGGCGCTTTTTTTCAGGGGCTTTTATAAAAAGGTCCTAATTCAAGGATATTCGCCTCCGCGTGTCAGAGTAAAGGCCGGATACTAATTTTTCACCCCTTTCTGTCCTCCTGTGTTGGCTCTTTCGGACAGGAGGGCCACAATGGAAGAACGCAGGGCAGCCATCACCCGCAACCCCGAGCGTTTCTTTCCTGGAAATGTAATCGGTTCAATTGATCTGGCGTCAGTCTGGCCAAATTAAATCGAGTGGTGTGTCTTTACTAATGGACTCTGGGTGGTGAAATGAAAGTTTCAATTAGCCGACATAACTTCTAAAATAATGAAAAACTATGGAGGGGGCGGGAATTAAGACGGTCTGCGATGTATCACTTACCCCGGATTAGTCCCATGGAAGACAAAATAATGACTTTAGGATTCTGGCTCTGGCTTGTTGATTGCCGGGAAATGTACTTTTAAAAAAGCCAAGGAAGCCTGCCGGTTAGAGTGTATTGCCTTAAATAGTTCGAAGCCAGGAAACAACAAACAATCCTCAAGCCACGCGGAGGCTTAAAGTCAAGGGACTACTCCAGAGTAAGTGGTTGAAGTGGCGCCAGTCCTCTAGCCTAAACATTCGATTAATTTAGATTTCCTCCCGCAGGTGTTTCGTACTAACGTTTCCTATTTAAATGAAAAGTCAGATTAGAAAAAAAAATAATAACACGGGCAAACTGTAGCTTATCCTCTCTTGAATCTCCTTCGCAGTTGGGGCTACTGCTCTGGCGTCGGGTCAGACCGTGCCAAGTTTGCTTTCAGGTTTTGGAACCGGAAGGAGAAACTAGGTCCACCAGACGAAAATCGCCCAGCGCAGGGGGAAAAAAAAAAAAAAAACCGGGAAGGGAGAGAAGATTTTGCTAACCCGCCATCAACAAGCCGAAGTAGTTTCATTGAAAGACATGAAATTACTCCGGAGCAAAGGGCCTGCCTATTGCAGCTGGGAGAGGCAAGGCAAATTCGAATCCGCTCCGGGTCACCGAGAGCTCCGAGCAGGAAGGCGAGCTGCTTAAGAAAACGCCCGGCTCACCTTCTCCGACGCGAGGCGAAGCTCAGGCACGTCCTTGTCCAGTTTACACACAAACATCTGGCTGCTCTTCCAATACATGGCCCAGGGCTGGGAGCGCTCCTCGCAGACCCCCTCCCCCCGCACGGAAAAAGCCTCTACGAAGTCCAACGGGCCGAAAACGAGCGCCCGATCTCCTCCTCCTCCTCTTCCTCCTTCTTCTTCCCGGGCTCGGGGTCTGCGCCGTTTCCCGCCGGCCTCTTCCTAAGCGCTCTGCTCGCCTTCACTGAGATCAGACCCTGGCAGAAAAAAAGTTTTGCTTTCAAGGGGGTGGACCCTGCAAAGAGGGAGCGCGCCTCTTGGCTGGCTCCGGAGCCTCACCTCCTGGCGTAAAACCCGCCTTCTAGCCACGGCCAGATCGCTATCGCCACCAAGCCAAAAGAGTCGCTCTGGGGAGCGCCTTTTTTTCTGCCGTTTGGGTTGTTTTTTTTTTTTTTTTTTTTTTTTAGAGGAAGGGGCACAAAGGCAGGAGTAGGTTAACGCGGGATTACCCACCGCGGTCGCCTACCCCCCCTTCCTTTCCCCCCCTCCATTCCCCCCGGACCTCCAGCGGTTCATCTGCCGCGGAGCGCAAGCGAAAGCCACGGAGGACGGCGGGGGAAATTCAGCACCTTTGCCTTGTTCCGCGCTCCTTCTTAGAAGGCGAGGCTGGAGAAGAGCGGCAAGGACTTTGGACCAGACGGCCCGGATAAAAAAAACAAAACTTCTCCTTAAGTGGGCAAGCGAGAACATCTGAGCAGCCCCAAAGTCCCGCTGGGGAGATCAGAGGCGGGTTAATCGGGGCAAATCTCCAGGCGGGAGGGGACTAAGGCCCGGTGGGCGGCAGCAGCGGCGGCGGCGCAAAACTCCCGCACCCAAACCCCGGTTTGCCACCCGCAGGCCGAGGCCGCGTCTCCGAAAACGCCTCTGAGCCGGACCCTCGAGGTACCGGGCGGGAGATCAGACGCCTCCGCTGTTTTTCGGAGGGAGCGCCGGCGGCGTTTTATCCATCCCTTCTGCGCTCCGCTCCCTTCCCTCCCTCCCTCCCTCCTCGCCGGGCTTAAGAAAAGAGGGGAAACGGGCGGCGGCGCTTCGAGCGGCGAAAGCCAGGCGGGTGTTTCTACCCTGCGGTGAGTGACTTCGTCCTTTCGGGCCAGATCCAAGCTTGGGTTCCTTTAGCCGACGGCCCCGGGAGCCAAGGCTAAACAAACCCACAGCTTATGCTTTTAGTCTGTTGTAGTCGGTAATCGATAGCTAAGAGTGGCTTGTTTAGTAGACAGTTGCCGAGCAAACAGTTGGCTCCCTTGATATTTGAACCGGATCGCTCTTTTTTTAAGTAACTCCGCTGTTTTTCGTCAACGTTTAGCAACGCTAACTTAAGTTGCAAAAAAAAAAAAAAAAACTTTTCAGCTTGCCCGCCTTTTGGGTGTGAATTCGTATCAGTAACTCTGTTTGTTTAATCGGAGCGGATCGCCCTGTGTCTCTCTTAAAAGAGACGCGCGTCAACTTTGCCGCCGCGCAGGGTGACCCCGGTTGTTCAAACACGGACTCCGTGTTTGAGGCTGCCTCTCTAGCGTTTAAATCTTCAGGACCTTGTGATCTTGAGCATGCAACTCTAGCCACGAGGCTCCTTCGAACTGTTTGGTTTGTGGTAAAGGAGAGCCCCGATTCTTTCTTTTGTCAATGGGTTGTTTTCCGGGGGGTCTCTTATTTATTTTATTTATTTTATGAGACTTATATACCGCTTTAAGTGCATGCACTCTCTAAGCGATGTACACCAGTAAGCAATGTATATATATAATATATTTACATTGCCCCCAACAATCTGGGGCAATGTAACGCTGCATTTTTCTCTCGAGGATAAAACCTCTCGGCTCTAGGGCGTCCTGCTTTTTCTCGCCCTTCCCACCGTCTGCAAATTCTCTGCGCCTGGCCATCGCGGGCGCTGCCCAAATTCCCCCGCGGGGTTGGCGCGGAAGTGCGCGCTTTCCCGCCGGAGACCGGAGGGCAGGCAGCCTTCCGCGCGATTCTTTTGGAAAGGCAGACTTCAAGGCGAGGTGACTTGGACTCTTGAGCGCGTCAAGGGCGGCACCTCGAGGCTCGCCTTTCAACGCCGCCGATCAAGGAAAGGCCAAGCGACCACCAGACCCTTATCAGATTTAAGGCCGCCTCGCTCGGACGGCCACGGGGCGAGGACCGGGGCGAAGCAAGCTTGGTCGCTGGCCGCGAGGAGGGAAAAACGCCTCGGAGTGTAGCGAAGCGTATCTCGCAGCTTCTGAAGAATCCGCGGCGGCTCGCGTCGGAAGCCGAATCGCAGCGCTGAGCCTCGGAGGAAGCGAACGGTTTCCCTCCTTTCTTAAGCCCAGCGAGATTGAATGCACCGACGACGTTATTTAGTTTGGGTCGTGAAACGTCTGCGAGAAAACAACCAAACACCAGAAAACATCAAGGACCTCTCCGTTTGGGCTCAGCCGGCCGGCCCCGGGGTTACGGTTTTAGATAGCAGCGCGTTCTCCTTTTTTTTGGGAGAAATGACTTTCTCGCACCGTGTTTCTCTCAGATTGCCTGCCTGTCTGCCTCTCTCTCTCTCTCTCTCTCTCTCTCTCTCTCTCTCTCTCTCTCTCTCTCTCTCTCTCTCTCTCTCTCTCTCTCTCTCTCTCTCTCTCTCTCTTTCTCTCTCTCTGTGTGTCACACGCTATAAGTCCTAAACGCACATTTTGCTTTTTTATAAATAAACTGCAATTCGACAGTGAGCTTCTTGAGACCATTTCGCCCATCCTTTCCAGTTTGCCTCTCGAGGTGGCTAAAGGCTGGGCATCGGGATGCTGAACAGATTTAGAGAGAAAACTAGATCAAATTAGGGCTCGATTTTTTTGAACGCACCGTTTGCAGTACTACGGTCTTCAGCCGCTGGGCAAGTAGTGGCTTTGAACTTCAGCTCCTGTCCATCAACGGTCCGGAATGATGGGAGTTGTAATCCAAACCATCTAGCATTCCCTAACATCGGGGGAAAATTGACCCACACTCACAACCCAGACCTTGAGACCTCCAGATACCAAAGTGATGTTCTGTACAATTTCTTGACCCTTGCTAATCCTCTTGAATACTTATTGGAGGAGGGTGTTGATGGAGCAACTTGACGGCTGGCTTGACGGGCGAGGAAACTCTCCCCCCCCCCGACTTAAAACTCAGCGTTTGACCACTATTAACTGCCCAAAGATTGAGGCTCTTTCTATCGCTATTCTCCAAAAACCAGAGCAGAAGTCTAGGGCTGTCCTTTTCGATCCGAAGAGTGATTTTTTTTCTGCCGCGATCTCTCTCAGCCCTCTCCCCTTTCCATTAGAAGTCCTGGCGCCACTTCCGGAGGAGGAACTCCTCCGGGAAGGGTTTGACAGCAGAAAACCAGGAGAGCACATCTGCTTTCTGCGTTCGCACCGCACCCTGAATTAATAGCCGGGGTTGAATTGCCACATCGAAGCCTGTGGCCGTGGCTAGCTCCGAGGACATTCCTGATCCCAAGCTCGGCTGAGCTGCTTTCCTAAATCACGGGCCCTAAATCTCCGGCAGATTCTCTTCGCCAAGGATCTCTCTGAAACGGCTCGCCTTTGTCAGGGAGAAAAATGTACTGCCCCGTTAACTTTTGCAAGCCCTTTTTTCTGTGGCCTCTTTTGAAACCTTTATCCATCGGGGGCGCGTTAACTTTAGCAGAGAGGAACAAAAGAGGCGTTCCTCTGTCTCTCTCCTTCTCTCCCCCCTCTTCCTCTCCCTCTCCCTCTCTCTCCCTCCTCCTCTCTCTTTCCCTCTCTCTTCCCCCCTCTCTCCCATTCTTTCCCTCTCTCTCCCTCTCCCTCTCTCTCTCCCTCTCTCTTTCCCCCTCTCCCTCCCTCCCTCCCTCCCTCCCTCTCTCTCTTTCCCCTCTCTCTCTCCCTCTTCCTCTCTCTTTCCCTCTCTCTTTCCCCCCTCTCTCCCTCTCTCCCTCTCTTTCCCTCTCTTTCCCCCCCTCTCTCTCTTTCCCTCTCTCTTCCCCCCCTCTCTCTCCCTGTCTCCCTCTCTCTCTCTCTCTTTCTCTCGCCAAAGAGTGTCCTTTCCCGTACTCAACTGATTCGGATCTTCATTGCAGACGAAACAAAACGCGTGTTAGGGGGCTTTCACCCGAAAGGTGCAAGCAATTACAGAGCGGGTTCTGCAACGTCAGCACCAGAGCCCTGGTTCCTGGGAGGTCGTGGGCTTCTTTAATCTGTTGAGAGAGGAGAACTAATGACTGGTGGCGGGGGGGGGGGAAACGGCGAGATCGGAAGTGAGATAGAATCAAGAGGAAAAATCATTTGGGCATCAGGAAGCCTGCATCTGAGCCGCTTAAAGAAGGATCGGGCTTTCCTTTTAGGAAACCCCCCCCCCCGCTCCGCTGCTGCTTCCCGCCTCCCACCACGGGGGCTCCTTGAGGCACTGTTAACCCTGTAACTGCCCAGAGAAGCCAGTTTTCTTAGGGCGCCTTAATATTAATAAACACCCAAATCTTCAGCCTGTTTCCCTTGGCAATAACTTCGAACGAAGTCCGTGAGGATTCCATGCCGGGGTCTTGTACGCGTGTAACAATCCTCAAGACCTCTGGGTTGTACTTCACTCCACACTTACCCGGGAGTAAGTCCCAAGACCTCCGGGAAGCTTACGTTCGAGTACAGGGCTATTGCACGCACCCACCAGCTCCAGGGCTTGCGTAAGATTGAATTGTGTTCTGTGACGTTTAACGAATCAACCTCGGTTTTAATCTGGGGCCTTTGGCACCGCTTCTTTGGAAAGAAGGAACATTTCGTTCTCTGAATGTCTTGCCTTTCTCGCTAACTTGTAAAAAAAAAAAAAAGGTAAAGGGAGTTTAGACGGTGTAAAAAAATATGCAGACGTTTAGGGTGGGGTGGAGTGAAGAAAGACTCGAGAGGGTCGGCTTTTCTCGACCGCGAGTTTATTTTCCCTTCTGCCCCCAATCTGCCCTTTCTTGCTAAAAGGAAAAGAAGTACTTTCATCCACAGCCGCAGAAGCAATTTTTAAAATAATAAAAGAACCCACCCGGTTGCACACACTTCCCAGCTTGGTTTTGGAAGAAGACGCGAAGATCCCAAAAGGGCCAAAAGGGGTTGGAAGCGTGCACACTTTACTTTCTAACCATGTTTTCAGGGTTACCCGTTGGGCTGGCTGTTGTACAGTCCAGTGGAAGAGTGGAAAGATTGTCGTGAAGAAATGAATGAAGAGAGTCCTGCTTACTCCTTTGGGATCACTGCAACCTAGAAGATCTCCGGGCCAACCCATATCGAATTCAGCACGATTTACAAGCAGTCTGGTATTCTGTAACAAACCATAACTTGCATGTTCTAGGTCAGTGTTTCTCAACCTTGACAATTTTAAGGCATGTGGACTTCAACTCCCAGAATTCCACAGCCAGCAATGCTGGCTGTGGAATTCTGGGAGTTGAAGTCCACATGCCTTAAAATTGTCAAGGTTGAGAAACACTGTTCTAGGTGGAGACATTTGGACAAGAATTTGGAGAGGATATTCGCAGGAAAAGAAGGAGAAGGGGAAGGAAGAAGAAAGAAGGCAAAAGAAAGAAGGAGAAAGAAAGAGAAGAAAGAAAAGAAAGAAAAAAGAAATAGAGAGAGAGAGAAAGAGAGAGAGAGAGAGAAAGAAAGAGAGAGAGAGAGAGAGAGACAGAAAGAAAGAGAGAAAGAAAGAAAAAGAAAGACCCTTTACATGTTGATTCCCCTTAAACGGGCAGGGAAAATCTACTCCAGTTGGGAGAGGTGACCTTTGAAGGTCGTGGACCACATTGCAAAATGTGTTGAAAACCCGATGGGAAGTGGCCTCGGAAGGGTTGTCTCATGATTTCTAAACAAAGTTTTCTTTTCCTCCTTGAGTTAAGTTTTGATTTTCCCATGGCAGAAAAATATACCCTATTTTTCCAGTACCTCTAAAATCCATGGGGGGGGGGGGACATGAAGCAGTTTAAGAAAGGGCTGCCTGACTTGAACAAAGTTGATAATCTTTTTATTTTATTTTTTAAACTCCAAGTAAGTTTTGATTTATGTCAAAAAGGACAATTGGTTATAATAAGGAATTCCAAATTGTGTAACTGAATTCTGATTGCTATGGTCAAACATCATCAGATGCAAAGAAAAGAGAGATTTAAGGTAGGATTGACAAATGTTTCTAGTTGGCTGTAAGGTAAATATTTTTGCCATTAGTAATTAAATACATTTGGCCCAAAGGAAAGTAAATTGTATAAAGAATGTTCTTCCATTTTTCTGCCAAAACTATTTCAGAATTCATCCAGAAATCAACAAGCAAATAGAATTTGGTTACCACTACATTTACTCGAAAACAAATAATGTCATTTCCAAATGAGTCTCCTTCTAGCTCATTTACAAATACACTACAGTGTCTCTCATTACAATAAAATTAAAGAAAGTCAAAGGGGGAAAAAAATTAACAAAAGCTAAAGTTTCTTGGCAAAGAATATTGCTGCTCCCTTAAGGTGAACAACTCTCTCACACACATTGTTTACATTTGCCTTTTCAAAGGAAATCAATGATTTGCCTATCCCTAAAAATTAAGGCATTTGTTGCTGTTCAGTTTTTTGCTTCTAAAAAAAGGGGGTCAAAATTAACCTCTTTTTTTTTCCTTCTCTGCTCTTTCCCTGCCTCCATTTTTTTCTGCTCGGCAGAGAAGTGATGGGTTGAGTGCTCAGAACCTCATTTGAGATTCAGCTGGTCCTTTTCTTTTCAAGAGAAAAATGAATGAGTGGCTGGTGGGATTTCTGTGCCCCAGAATGCTGCATGTAATTTAACACGTGGAACAACTATTCTGGACCAAAACACCCAGAGCACATTTGCTATGAGACTGTTTCTGAATTAAGGAGCTCACTCAGGTTATATGATACTTGTCCCCGATTATTGAACTTCTCTGTTTTTTCCTAATTTTTTTTTAAAAGGTACTTCTTGGAAAAAGAGGTCCATAGAACTCCATAACTGAACCATATCAGTTTGATTGGCTATCATAAAAGTATTACCCAATAATTGATTTTGTATTATTTTCCTCCCTCATAGACCAATTTAGCTTTCTCTGTTTTTAATGTGAAAATGTATCTTTCCTTGCCTGGTTCTGGGCTATTTAAGATGCACTTTACTTATCTTACACTTTTCCTCCAGGAATCCTGTGTATAAACTGGACAAACTTCAGATTATTCAAGTAAAAAAGCGGAGGAGAATTAGTATTCTAACTTTCAGTAAAGTTAGGACAGCATGATAGAATGAATCCATATGTAGGCTAGGCTGGAGACTGTTGATATGCTGTATATGCCATCCAGGGTAGCAAAGAAGACCAAAAACACACTAACTCAGATAGGACATGTTACAGGACTGTTTTTAGCTGTTTCAGTCCTTGTTGCATAGTGTTTCCATGGGGGGGGGGGGAAATTACAGTGAAATCCAAAGGTTTTTACTGTTATGCTTAGGTCTAAACAAAGCTTTCTCCCCATATACAAAGGAAAGGGCAAAAGCATATATAGGTACAGTATTTGCATAATGCCTTCCTGTGAATCCTGTGTCAAACCAAACTGAGTTCATCAAGCAAGACAAGTTCCTAATTTGTTGTTTAAATAAAGATTGATGGTGGGTACTTGGCTATACAAACAATTCTTTCCTCTCCCTGCGCTGACAGTCAGCTGCATTAGATGCCTCAACCTCATTGAACTCAACCTACACCCCCTCCTCCCCAAATAGGATAGGATTGGCATTTAAATATTAGCTGCCAACTCAAGTTTTGAAGACCAGCATATTCATAACCTGGAATTTTTAAAAAGTATTTTCCTAGTTTCCATTCTTAGGTTCAGTTTTGAGAAGCCCTGTAAATGGCAGTGGTCATTTCTTTAGTAAGATGTACCTGTTCCATCCACTTAGAATCTATCTTTTACTCAATCTATATCTTGGATCTCATTTTTAAAAAGCCCACCTATAAACTATCACAGCAAACTATAAATGCAATTCTATACTACGTACTTTCTGGGAAGTCTCATTCAACTCAATGGGATTTTCTTTTGGATAGACTTCTCTAGATTAACCTTGTACTCCCATTCTTAGGCATGGATATTTCTAGATTTAATGGTGTCTTTAGGTGCCATAGATTTGTATATTCAGATAGCAATTTGTTTTCTCTAAAGAGGCAGGAGAAGAAGTTGTCTTTTGAAAAATGGCCTAGAAACTTGATCAGAAATATAAAATAAAAATATAAAATATCTAAGATAAAAGCAAGCCAAAACTAAGAATAATTCTCTAATTTCTGCCAGTTTTCAATTTGAATCCTGCCCTGTTGGGAGAGTTTAAAACTTATTTGATAGTCATTTTTGCTATTTAGCTAAAATCTAAAGGGAAAAGTAGGAATTGTTTATGTTAAAAATCAAAGTCTCATTCAGAAGAAATTCTATAGCATGATTTGCTAACAGCACATATAATGCCAGCCTAACCATGCTTACTCAGAAATAAGTCCCTCTGACACAACATGTTTACCCATGGTTTACCTAATCATGGTTTAACAAGTGAATTAACTCAATTGCACACAACATGCTGAATCATACACGAACCACACAGCCAATTTTGCACAGCTGAGCCTCACATTAGCTAACCACATTTTTAGCTACTATGCTGGGAAAACTCACTATTGCTTTTGTTCATATATCATTTTAAGTCTTGATTTGCTTAGCCATGATTTATTGAAGGAGCCATATTGAACTGGGTGGATGCAACAACAACTCATATGAGCGTCTGAGGCCAAGCTAAATCCAAAAAAATGCTAGAGAATTCCTGGAACCTTAGCACTCAGACTAATCAGCCACCAATAGACACTTAGAAAGAAGTAAACCACATTTATACACCATTCAAAAGAGACAATAAAAAAGGAGACTAGAACACATTAAGCAGGGATTAACACCAAACAAACAAACAATCAAGCAGAAAAGAAACTTCTAATCAAGGAACTACCAAAGAGAAAACCATATGCCCCAAAATACTGGCAGGGCAAGCTACTTGGTATATAGAGGTAGCAATGGGGCAGTGCCACATTCACTGGCAATGATGATGTTACTAGCTGGTCAATGAAATGTCTGCAAGCTAACAACCAAGCTCAGACAGCATCAAGGACTTCACAGTTCTTGTTACAATGCTGATTATACAGTATATTATCTCCTACTGAAACAACCAGTTGCAATGGTTTAAATTAGTGAACATGCCAGGCTAAAACCAAATGAAGGGCTTGCTACATAATGTGATTTCACCCACTCCCTAGAAAATGTGGGGCCTGTGTCATAAGCCATGTGGGTGCAGGATTCATTGCATAAGCAGGGAAGAAACAAGGATGTAGTCTTCTCCTTCCTAAGCTCCTTCACTTGAGCTTTACCCTAGAAAGGCATAAACAGTGTTAGGTAGTGTGTGAGGATATTATGTATAACACAAAAAATACGAATAGGATCAGGGCCTAAATTTAAAGCAGAATCTGAGTCTGTACCAGATAAGGATTAGTCAGAAATAAAGCTTTTGGACAGGGGTCTTCAAAGTTGGCCCTTTTATGACTTGTGGACATCAACTCCCAGAATTCCTCAGCCAGGCACACTGGCTGAGGAATTCTGGGAGTTGAAGTCCACAAGTCATAAGAGGGCCAAGTTTGAAGACCCCTGCTTTTGGAGGAGTATATTGCACTCGGATCAGGAACCACTGTTTCATGAGGCCAAGACTCTTTCGAGAATATAATAAGATATCTTAAGCCTTTGTACAGAGGTATTGATACACCTATCTGCTGGACCTTACATAGTCGTAGAAACAGGCTTTAAAATGATCAATGTGATGTTTGATTAACGTGCCTAAGGCACTCTTCATAGAGCAACCCAACCAGCTTCCACTCCAGACTAGAGAGCCTGCTGCGCATAATAGGTCCTGAAGGAATGAAAATAATCATGGAGGACAAGAAGACTAGCTGAACAAATACATTGCTTTCAGTTTGACTGTTATACATATATACAGCAATTATTTTATTAGATTTAGAAGGCTGCCTAACTCTGAAATGGGAAGCTTAGATAATTAAATCATATTATTATTCTATACCTGAACCAGTCCACTTCAGGATGGAGGCCTCTTCATTGAAGGTTATTGACTGCAATCTGTCATGTTGGTCCAGTGCAGACAGGTTGATAGAGGCTTTGACTTCCTAGTCATGCCTAATGGAGGAGTCCTTGATGCTC